ATATAAGGATTTATCAAAAGATATAGTTTATATAATTTTTAAAGAAAAAAAACAAACAAAAAACACAAAACAAAATTTGGTTTTATAAAATAATAATTTTTATTTATTTTTTTAAAGCTTTTACTATTTATTTTATTATAAAAATATAAATAATATTTTAATAATAATTAAAAATTTTAACTTTGTATAAGAATAATTTTTTCATATTTAAAATTAGTTTATATTTTTTAATATTATATAAGAAATGTATACAAATGTTTTTATAAAGATCTTTATATTATAAAATTTTAAGATATAAATATTTTATTTTTAAAAAATAAATTGTATAAAAAAAGAATTATATTATTATATATTTATAAATGTAATACTATTTTTATTTTGATTAAATAAAGAAATTGAAAAAAGTATTAAGATTTAAAAAAATATATTTCGTTTAATATATTATAATATGAAAATAATTTATAAGTAATAAATGGAAATTTTTAAATAATTTTTAAAAATAAATTCATGATAATAAAATCTTAGTTTTTTATTTAATTAAAATTTTTTATAAAATAAATATTTTTTTTAAAAAAATAAAGAATAATAAATTATCTATATAAATAAAAAAATTGAAAAATATAAAAAATAAAATATAAAAAAATAAAAAAAATAAATTAAATTCAATATAATATAATAAAAAGAATCTTATGAATAAATAAAAGATAAATTGTAATTAAAAATAAAAATAATAAAGAATAAATAATAAAAATAATAATAATAATAATAATAATAATAATATATAATAATATTAATATTAATATTAATATTAATTATTTTAAAAATAATAATATCTTTATATTTATTATTTTAGACATATATATTTATAAAATTATTTTTATTTATCATATAATATTTAATTAAAAAAATATTCTTTACAAATTTATAATTTCTAAATTTTTATTTTATAACCAACATATACATATACTTAGTTTATTTTATATTTTTAAAATATAATAATTAGATATAATTTAATATATACTTATTTATCAGAAATTTATAAATAAAATTTCCATTATTAGATGACACTATATTTTTAAATATAATTAAACATTTATTAACCATAATTATATAAATATATTTCTTATGTTTTAAACGTACTTATTAATTTAAAAAATATTTTAATTTTTAATGCTAATATATACAGATAGGTTTGTTTTTTATATTAAAAAATAATAATACAGAAAATTTAGATTTACAATCTAGTATATTTTTTATTAATTTATAAAAAACAAAACTAATTAATTATTATTAAAAAATATACAAATAAATATAATATAAAGAAATATATATATAAATAAATAAAAAAAAAATGAATAAATATATAAATTATGCAAAAGCCTTAAAAAAAATAAAAATCGAAAAAGCTAATTTAAAAACTCTTCTTTTTAGGGATTTTCCATAAAAGAATATCCCTGAAGCATATGGAATTTTAATAAAAGCATTAAAAAATTATGAATAAATTCAAGAAATAGCTTAATAATTAAAAAAAAAAGATAAAAAATGTTCTTAAAATGTTCAAAATTTCTTCCTTTTTTGTATTTTGATTATTGAATAATTCTTTTCTGATAAAAAAAAAATACAAGGTGGTGGCTAATTAAAAAAATACATAATAGAAAACAAAGATTTTATACAAAAAATGTTAAAAATGGATTCAAATTAATCATATATTATCAAAAAGATATCTATATGCGCTTAATAGGACCTAAAAATGCTTTTTTTAATGAAAAAATACTACCAAAAGCCGAAAAAGATGACATAATACCAAATTTATATAAAATCCAATATAAAAACTATCAAGAAATAATCCAAAAAAATCCCATAAAAGACCTTTAAGAAAACAACTTAGTAATATAGAGTAAATCAAGTGCTATTCCTGCATTTTTTTTATATGAAAAATTAATAAAAAACTAAAAATAAAATAATGAAAAAATCGAAATTATAGACTGTTGTGCAGCTCCGGGAAATAAAACACTATAATTGATCGAATATATAGGAAAAAAAGGAAAAATTCTAGCTTTCGAAAAAGACGAGAAACGATTTCAAATTTTGAAAAAAAGACTTGAAATTTTTTTCAAAAACGATAATAATTTTGAATGTTTTTAATAAGATTTTTTACAAATAAAACCCGAGTATTATCCAAATGTAAAGTATATTTTATGTGATCCTTCATGTTCAGGTAGTGGAATGTTAAATCATATATATTTTGATAGTATATAGGAGGAAAAAGAAGAAAATTTAAAGGAATTCTTTATTGATAAATGTAATAAAATATACGAAAATTTAAACGGAAAGGAAAAAAATAGGGTGTTGAATTTAAGTATATTTCAAAAGGAAATTTTAAATAAAATAAAAATGTTTCCAAATTTAGAAGGTTTTGTGTATTCTACTTGTTCTATTTTTTAAATGGAAAATGAAGATGTGGTAGGAAGTTTTATTTAAGAAAATAAAAATTAGTTTAAATTAGTAGATTTATGTGAAAATTGGGATTGTAAAGGATTCTAAACAGATTTATTACTAGATGGAAATAAATGTTTAAGAGTTAATCCTTTTTAAGAAAGTTCTGATGGATTTTTTGTAGCTTTAATTAAAAAAATTAATTGAAACAAAATTATAAAATATATATATATTTATATAAAAAATTATATATATATAATTTATAATTATATAAATAAATATATATATATATTTATTTATTTATATTCATATATATATATATATTTATATGTATATATTTAAATATTTTTATATATATTCTTTTTTTTTAAATATTTAATAAAAAAAATTATATATATATTTAATATAAAAAATGAATTAAAAATTATAATATTTTCATTTATTTTCTCTTTTTTAAAAAGTTAATGAATATAAAATAAATATATTGAAACAATCTTTTTATATTATTAAAGAATTTAATTATAAATTAAATAAATTTTAAGATTTTCTTGACAAAATATCAACAAAAATTTTCATAAATTAATAGAAAAGTACAAAGCTTAAAATGTGTTAAATAATTAGAAATTTTATTTAAGCTGAACGAAATATTGAAAATAGAAAATATATTATATTAGCAAAACTAATTAATAATTATCATTTAAGAGCTTTTTATTATTTTAATAAATGGAATAATTACATGTAATATTAGAGGAAATATCCTTAAAAAGAAATTCACAAAATTTCTTTAAAAAATTATTATTTGAAATTTAAAGTAATTATTTTTAATTTTATTTATTTTATTTATATAATTAAAGATATTCGAAATATCAATAAGAAAAATAATAAAAAAATAATAGATAGGAGCTTTTTTAAAACTAAAGATTTTTTAATAATAAAAAAAAAAGAAGATTTAATAATAAATATTATCTATTTTGATACTTAATAGTATATTTAATTAAAATAAATAATAAAAAATGGCATTTGCATTTAATAAAATTAAAATTAAAAAACAAAAAAATAATAAATAATAATATGTTTAAAAATCTAATCATATTTAATTAAATATAGATTAATAAATTATCAAATCATAAGTATTTTTTATAAAAAAAAAAAAAAACATAAATATATATTAAAAAATTATGAATATATATTAACATATATAAATATATATATATAAATTTATTATATATTTATATATAAGTCTATTTATTTTTTATTTTATATTTTTTTTCATAAATTTATATTAATAAAGGCAATAGTATGTTAAAAAATTTATTTAAAATATAGAAAAACCTAATTAAAAATAACTGCATATAATATAATTTTTAAACATATGTAGTAAAGAATTAATAATTAAAATCAAAAAATTAAATAATATTTTAAAATTTGGATAAAATAAACTTATAGACTAAATTTAAATTAAAGAATTTAGTTAAAAAATTTACATTAATAAATATAAAATGAAATAAATAATGTAATTTCTATATTTGTTTGTATATTTTTATCATTTTATTAGTTATATGAAGATTTATCTTAAAAATATTAAATTAATTAATAAACTTCACAATAGAACTAAAACTAATGCATAATCCATAAAAAAAATTAAGAAAAAATTGATGATATGTATTTTTGTCAATTAAAAAATAAGTTATATGATGAATTTATTTCAAGTAAATAAATATAAAATACATCGTATATAATTATATAGCTGACGTTTTGAAAATGCTGGAAGCAATAGAAAATGAAAATATGTTATTAAAACAAAAATTATTAGAATAGGAGCAGATGAAAATCATAATATAAGATAATAAACTACCTAATAATGTATTTATAATAAATAAAAAATATATTTATTAAAAAAAAAAAAAAAGATATAAACAGATAAAAAGTAAATTAATATATATATAAAAATATTTTAAAAAAAATAAATGTATGTAATTAATAGTTTACAAAATAATGAAAATGAAAATAACAAAAATAAAATTTTAATAAATAACTTTTTAGAAGATTTTAATAAAAACAATATTAAAAATAATAATAATAATAATAATAATAATAATAATAATAATATTGAATAAAACGCTGAATAAAGACTAATCTTAGCATTTAATCTTCAAGAAAATTAATAATAAAAATCTATAAATGTTCCTTTATAATTTAAAAAGCTTATAAGAGATGGATATATAATTGAAAGAAGAAAAGTAAAAAAATAAAAAAACACAAATATATAAATAAGAATATTTAAAAAGTAAAATTAAAAGAACATGTAATAATTATTGAAATCATATTCATTCGAATAATTATATTAAACTTAAAACAGTCAATAAATCTGAAAAAATTAATAAAAAAAAAAAAAAACTTAAAATATAAAATAATATTTCATTAATATTTATAATCATAAACATATTCAATTTCATCCCCTGTATAATAAAAAAGCACACAAGCATACAATGGATCATTATCAACTATTTAAATATCTAATTTATATACTTAATCTGTTTTATTATCTTTTTAAAACTACACAAATTTTCCTATAGGATCATAATTTATTTATACAGTATCATTTTTTCCAAAATAAAAACCTTTTACCACATTATTAGCTTATGTCGTACTTGTAGACCAAGATCCGGCATTTGAGGACATCAAATAAGCTCCATGTCCTAATGCATTAAAGTTAAATCCATAATTTTTCTCAACAATTATATTTTTATGACAAACACCTATTGCAATCCAATTATTACCTCCAGCATTTCCTTATTTATTTTTAAAAGTAATTTTAATCGGTTTATTTTTAGGTAAAGGAGGTTCCATTAATGCAAATCGATAATTAGGAGTAGTTCCTATAGATTTAACTGTAAATTTATTAATTTAAGTGATTTAAGGGTGTTTTAAACTAAAAGAAAATTACATTTTTAACTATTCACCTCCTAATATATCCATATTCTATATAACTTCTTATATATATTTTTTTTAAATTTCAAAAACTTAAACTATGTTTTTTTATGTATTTTCGAATTATATCTATATATCTTTATATTAATAAACTATGTTATTTTTCAAGCTCTCAGTGGATATGTTTTCATTTTAAAATTATTCATTATTATTATTACAAACGGAAACAGGGACAAAATTAATTAATCTCATAACTGAGCTTTTTAAAACTTCTAAATCATTTCTATAATCATATATATTGTTAAAAAGCTAATTTATGGTATCTCCTTTTACACTATGTGATAAAATTTAATCTCTCATTCGAGAAAAATAACATTCCATTTATTCTTTTAAATTTTTAGTATGTTATTAAAAAATATAATTTAATTTCTCTATTTCTTTTTCTTATAATTTTTATTAGTTTTCTAATTCAACTAATAATTCATCAATGTTTAATGTCTCCAATTTTGCGGCTTTTGATGTGTTTTCTAAAGCTTAGTGTAATAAAACCTTTAATGGTTTCCATTACCCTTTTTTTTGTTCTTCTTGGCATATTACACATCCTAATATTTCTTCTTTATGTTATGTATTTAATTGAACATAATTTAATTTTTCGCCTGTATGGAAATCACCTTTTTGGCATTCTAAGTATTTCAACTATCTTGTTTCTTAGTTTAAAGAAGGATTTTATGTTTATTAGGGTTAAAATACTTATTCTTACATTTTCTATTTATTTTAAATTAGAATTATTATAAGTATTTTATTGTGTAAATATGTAGATTTATTTCTTGAAAAAAAAAAAATATTATAATATTTATTTTTGTTGAAATTATATATAAAATAAAAATAGGAAAATTAAATTTTCTCTAAAATAATATATTAAACTATTTTTTTATTTTTTTAAAATAAAAAATTATTTCTATATTAAATTTAAATATTTTTTTTTAATTGAAAAGTCTATAATTAGATATTTTATATATAATATTAAGTTTATTTCATTTCATTTTAAAAATAATTTTCATTTATAAATATCATCAAAATATATATTTTTGTTTCTATAAAATAAATTAATATTCAATTAATTATTAAAATATTTTTCATAAATTTTATTTTCAATACTTCTCATAATCCTAATACCTAAATCTTCATTTTTTGTACAAAATGGTCTCGTTTAAATAGAAATACATCCATTTAAATTCGCTAAAAGAATATCAGTTAATAATCTATCACCAATAAATCCGATTTCATGATTAAGAATTCTTTTATTCGGATTCTTTTATTTTAAAAAATTTAAAATATCATTAAAATTAAAAGGTTTTCTATTTTAAGTTAAAATACATGTCATATTTAAAATGTTTTCAATTATTTATTTTTATTCTGTATTTTTTACTGAATTAGAAATTAAAAATAAAGAATTGTTATCATATATTGATTTAACTTCATTTTATATGCAATGTTTTATTTTTTCATCATAATAATCAGGTTATAAATGTTATGTAAGTGTATTATCCTTATCAAAAATTAAATACTTTATTCCTTTTTAAAATAACTTTTCATAGTTTAATTAATCTATTCTGTTTATTTATATAATTGGAATGCATAAAAATGGACGCTTATACAAATATTTTACTAATTTATAATTTTTCATTTTTTTTTAAAAGAATTTTAAATTAAAAAAAATAAATAATATTAATAAATTAATAAAAAGATAAAAATTAAAAAATAAAATAAAATATTATAATAAATATATTAAATATAAATAAATATATATATATATAATATAAATATATATATATATATATATATATATTATTATATCCTTTTCCTTAAAAATATTATTCATTAGTATTTTTACCTTTTTTTATTTATATTTTTTTTTTAAAATAAATACTAATTGTATTTGATTAATTTAAATTAATTTGATTTTAATTAATTTAATTTTCTAATTCATTAGTATTTATATTGTATTATTTTCCTCCGTATTCATATATTTCTAATTTGAATTATTTATATGCTTAAAATGCAATATAAGCAGCAACAATATAAAATATAATTAAAAAAAAGATAATATATTTTAAATAGATATTAATTTATTTTCTGATTAAATAATTTCTTTTCCATTTTATACTAAAGTAAGTAAAAAAACTATATGCTATACAATACTAAATATACAAATAAAAACTATATAAAATAAGATTAACCATTAAGATATTTATATCCATGTTATATATAAAATTAAACATGAAAATAATTCAAATATTCCTTTTGTAACGCTTTTATATAAAAATATAAATAATAATCCGATTATTAAATGAACTATACATAGAAATTTTAATTATGTTATTTTTTTTCTAGATTAATCTTCCCTAGGTTCTATTTATTATAAATTAATACAAATCTTTAAGATTTATTAAGTAATAATAATAAAAATATATAATTAAAAATGTAATTTTATATTAATTAATTAATTTTTTTAGAAAATTAAAATTTTTACATATAATATTAAGTATATTTTTAATCTTATTTAAATAAATAAGATTGATTTTAATATTTACAATTGTATTTATTATTAATATTATTATAAAATCTTGTAAGATAAATATAAATATATATATAAATTTATATATATATATAAATATATATATGTATAAATATTGTATATAATATATTAGTAAAAATTTTCATTTAGAATTTTTATATTATATAATTATATATAATAATATTATTGATTAAATTATAAAATAATATTAATGATTTATTATAATCTTAATATTTAAATAAATATATATGTTTTAAAAAATATACATTTCATTTAAATATTATATCGTTTTAATTTTAAATTATAATAAATAAAATAAATTAATAATGATTTCATGTTAAAATGAATATGAAAAAAACTATAAACTATTAAATGAATAATCAAAGCAATTTTACGATTAATTAAAGCATTACAAAAATGTTCATTAACAAAAAAAATAAAAATTTAAAAAGATTATTTATTTATTTATTTATTGTTAAAAAAAAAAATGTAAAATAATATAGAAATACACATAAGAGAAAAATAAAAATTAATAACTTATATAAATAATATAAAAAAATTAATTTGATCTTGAATAAAATGAAAAGATAATATAACAAAACAAACAATTGATAAAAAATTTAAAATAAAATGAATCATTACATAAAAACTAAATTAAATACTTATAAGAATAATTAAAGTTATGTCAATAATGTTAAACAAAAATAATACGAAAAGAAGAATAAATAATAAAACCATAAAATAAAAATAATACAAGTCAAAATAACATAAATACAATGTAAAACATATAAATCTAATTTAATCAAAATCTTAATAATATATAATAAACTAACAATAAAGCCTAAACATAACTCTAAAAAGAAAAATCAAACTCAATTATAAGAGACTTAAGCCAAAGCTCAAATAACAATAATATTTCAATATAATATTTAAACCAAAAAACTACTAACTAAATTAAAAATCCTAACATTAGTAGTATTTATTTAAGTTATAATTCACGAAAAGTAAGCCAATAATAAATAAATATGAAAAAGCCTTTAAGTACAAGTACTTATTAGAGTAATAATTTAAATACAAAAAATGAAAATTTAAATAATAAAAGTCAAATAAAATATAATAATAACAAAGAAAATAACTTTTTTGTACTATATAGTTAAATAAACAATAGGCTTTTATAAAGTAGCGAAAATAATATTTAAAATAGCAGAACTAATAGTCAGTCAAACAGTCAAAGTTTAAACTAGAAAAAACTAAGTCTATTTTAAAATAAAAATTAAACAGAAGGAAATGAATTAAATTCTTATTTAAATGATAAAAATAATTAAAAGATATGTTCTAGAGAATTAAAATAAAATAAACTAATGAATAAAATTAAAATTTAGCCTTTAGGTAATATATATTAGAAAAGAAAATTCGAAAACTTCGAATAGTAAATAAATAATGAATCTTTTTAGCAAAAAGTGGCTATTAATAATAAATATAGTAGACTAGAAGAAGACAATGAATTCGAAGTATAAGAAGAGGAAGTAAATAAGTAAAATTTACTCGAAATTAATACATAAAATAATGTAAAATATAGCTATAAAACATATTTTTCAGAAAAAGAAAAAATATTACTTTAGCAAGGAAAAAACATTTATTAAGATAATTAAATTGAAAATTTATTAATTTCCTAAAGTGATATCAAAAGGGAAAATCATATAAATAAGTAATAAAATTAACTAAAGAAAAAAAAGAGTGATATAATATAAGAAAATAAAAATAATTATAGCATATTAAAATAATAATAAATAAAAAAGAAATGTGCTACTGAAGAAGATATAAACACTTTAAATTTAAATAAAAAATAAATTTAAAAAACATCTAATTTATATAATTAATAAAATAATGAAACGAACAATGAAATAATCAGTTTAATAGAAATGAATATATAAAATGAAGATATAAGTTAAAGAAATAGTATTACATGCGGAGATTTCCAAAATTTGGAATTAAAAATAAAAAGTAGATCAATCGCAAATTTAAATAAAGAACCAGGAAGAATGAAAAAAAATTTAGAAAAAATATAGATTTAAAATAAAATATAAATAATCCTGGAGATAAAATTTTTGAATAATTTATTATTTTCGGAATAAACGAAGAAAATATAGATAAAACAACATTTGCCAAATAAAAGTAAATATTAATATATATATATAATATATATATATATATATATATATATATTTATTTATATTTACATTTTTATTTACATTTATATTTTTTTTTCTTTAGTTTGACTTCTAAAATGTAATATAGATATCCGGAATATTAAATACTTGAAAACAATTGTGAAAACGTTTTGCCTTTTTTCGTTTTTCCTAATGGTGTAGAAACTTAGTAAATGAAAATTACAGATTCTTTATCTTAAATAAATGAAATCATGTTTGCTAACTACGATATTGAATATAATGAAAATAGTTTCACTTTT